GAATATCAATAAAGTAAGTGAGATCTTATCGCTTATTCTGCCAGATAATAAAAGCAGAGACGAATAATTTTTCAGTTTAAACTTCTTATTTCTTTATATACCTTCCTTCAGCTCGTTATAAAATAACGTTATAAAATAACGTCATTTCCTAAAGAAAAATATTATTGAATCCTAAACAAATACCGTCTCATTACTTTTCATCTCTCTATTATCACGCGATCATCACTTCCTGTCGAATCGCGGAGATGAGATGCGGGAGAATGGAAGGAAAAGAAGCGATCAAGCGACATGCAGGCATTTCCCGAAGAGAAGCGCCACACATGCGAAGGCGCCGGGATGCCGGCAGCGAAATACGCCTGTGTAGTTCTTCTATTCTTTTTTTTTGTCGTACTCCTCATCTAGAATCTGCCCCCGATCTGCCCGCCGTCGCATCGTGCCGTCCGCAATCTTCTCTCAAATAAATCAAACTTTTGAATCACGCTCGTTCCTCTTCCGACCCCTACGATCCCTACGCGCCTTTCTCTCGCTATGGTACCAGCACAAAACTTTGTAACCGGTCGCCATTGTCAAGAGTTTAAAAGCTGAATGGATTTTTAGATTATACGCCGCGCCGGGGCGCGTTTTCGGTTTCTCGTGGCCCTGTCGTCACCGCATCGGTCTCTCTTTTCCTCGCCTGCCTCGAGACTCGAGAGAGTTTCAAATTCTTCGTGTACCGTCCGCTTACGATCTCTCTCTCTCTCTCTCTCTCTCTCTCTCTCTCTCTCTCTCTCTCTCTCTCCCTCTCTCTCTCTCTCTCTCTCTCTCTCTCTCTCTCTCTCTCTCTCTCTCCCTGTCTCCCTCTCTCTCTCTCTCTCTGCCCTCCTTACCGCACACATTCTCTTCTCTGTTATTTCTTTCGCTTTTTCTTCTTTTTTCTTGTTTTTTCCATCGCCTTTTTCTTCCTTCGCTTTCGTGACCGCCGTTAATCCGAAAGTACCGTATGACATTTACGCGAGCTCTTGCGCGCGAACAACGTGAGCGCGATATACGGAATTGCTCGAGTCAGATGCATTAATCTCCGCCGCTTCTTATTGGCTATCTGTCAGAGTTTTTACGAGTACTAAAGTTTCAGAATGCGGACGACACGCCGAGACACTGTTTTCCTGTGTGTGATACAGCTTCGAAAGTAGCGTAGAGTAGTTTCGCTATGATTTCGTTCCTTGTTACTTTTGTATGTACGGGAACGAAGGGCAGTTGTTGGCAGGGTTTAGAAAGAGAGTTTCGAACATTCTATAAACATAGTAATCGCATTAGTACTTAATCCTTGCTGTGCATTATGTATCAAATATCATTCGTTAACGTTAACAGAAAAAGCTCGCAGAAGTTACATATATTTCCCATGTCGTTTTATTGCACAAAATATTTCAGTTGCAAAAGCAGACAAAAGCATAATAAAAAATTAGAGGAAAGATTTATATTATTAGAAAAAACATTATTTAATGTACAATTATTTGTGAAAAATTAGCTCTAGATTATTGTTTATTGTATTGTTTATTAATTTATTAGATTAATATTATTTTCAATAATTAATATTATTTTTTTTTACCAACAATTGAATTTGATGCAAAAAAGAAAACAAGATTATTTTAAATTCTTTAAAAGAAATAGAAAATTGTTTTTGAATTTCCTTATTTTCGCTATAATTGACACGAGGAATATATATGAAATAATTTATTATTTCTATTTTAGTAATCCTCAGATTTATATATAAATTTATTCAATAACAAAAAATGCATGTGTTATTTAAAAAAAATATTGGTACAATTAAATGTTTAACTGATCTCCCAATGCTCCAAATTTCGTAATTATCTGCATCATAATATCGTCTCATATTTGATTTTTCCTCGTTGTAATTTCACGGGATCTTCGAGAGCTGAACGCGAAAGTGGGGTAAGTTTAGTTTTCGTCGCTTAGCTTTCTAATCGAACGATTGTCAATTTTTGCGTTTGACTTTTTAAGAGCACGAAGGAAAATCAATTTTCGTACGAACCAAACATTAGAACTGTAATCGTAGTCGAAAGCCTGTTGTATCTCGTAATTTTTCAAAGTCGATCGCCATCACTGTCTCGTGCGATTGCGTTGCTTGTCCCACGTGTTGTACAATATCATACATACATATACATATGCAAGGCGCTTTCTTATTATCTCTATCGTATGTAAAGGCTGTCTTGTAATGTGCTTCATGAGAGTCTTCTTTCATTTCTTCCTTTTCCAATGAAATTACGAGAAGATACTCGTCAAATGGACTCTATCCTTTTCCTTGTATTCAATGTGCGCAAACGAGATATGTCATCGATATAATGGTATCATTTACGTAATCATTTAAATGCGCAATCATTTAACATGTACAATCCTCGAAGAAAAAATGTAGACAAGAGATTGTCGTCGTTCATTTGTGCACGAATATGCGTGAGCTCGTTACAACGAACATCACATTATAGTGTGTATATATATATATGTGTGTGTGTGTTAAAGAACCTTATCTCTAATGAGATTTAACCTGCTAGAGCGTATCGTTATACAACTGAAATGAGTTTGATATTAGTAAGCGGAAAGCGACGAAAAAATTAAAAACTAGGAGCAAACGCCAACGGAGCAACGTGCCTCAAGGTACTTGCATGGAAGATTCCTAAAAAGGATAAGGCATGCAACATTCGTATCACTATCGCGGATAGAATGAAACAATCCGAATATACGTGTCCCACAATTGTCATTCAGATGTTTAATTGTTATTAAATATTTACATTACAATTACAGGATTGAAAATTAAACACGGTTTAATGATCATTTATTTAACGGTTACATAAAAGAGATGACATCTTTTTAAATTTTGTCCTCAACTACTCTGACACAGTCAAAGCCGAACCTTTATACATTGACTTTGTAAGAAAAATTACTTTTCTTTCAGATAATGAAAATAAATAAAAAACTGATATTAATGTAAAATGATAATGTTATTACAAGAATGATTAAACTGCAGTGGATTATATTGTATTATCCTGGGCCACAGTAATTGAGGATGTTTTAAAGAATAATTATTATTGGCATTTCTTAACAAAGTCTAAATTCAGAAGGAAATTTCCAAATGTCTTGGCGTTTTGCGGGTTTCACGAAAGGCGAGGAGGAGCTTCACTCGTGAGGCTTCTTCTCGTCTCAAGAGAGTCAAGAGATTCAACGACTCGGACATCAAGTCCGTTCAATCGGATAAGAAGGATAAGAGAGTGAAGATTGACGCGGGTTCGTTACAGTGATGAACAACTACCAGGCGGCCGCAGCACAGGCCGGGTTCCCGCCGGCGTCGCCGCACGCGGCCGGCGGCCACGGTGGGCCGCAGGGTCGGTCTTTCCCGGCGGCCAATTCACCGGGCCCGATTGACATGTACAGCTCGAGCGCCGCCGCCGCAGCAGCAGCCGCAGCCGCGGATTCCGCAGTCGCAAGCTACGTCCAGGCCGCAGCTAGCCCGCAGCCTCCCACGACCGCGTTCCCCGCGATCGCCGTATCCCGTGCCCCGCTCAACTACAGTCCCGTAAGTCCACTTAATGCTTCCCCTTTCTTCACCGGATCGGGCCCTTCCCGATAATAAGATGGAACGAAAGGATAAAAGAGGCCTAGTCGCATGTTCAAAAATATGATACTTCCGTATTTTATATATGAGCAGCAACCGTATCATGATTTACTCCCTTCTAATTTGTTCTATCGCTAACACAAGCTGCACGACAGCTCTTATTGCATCCACAACGAGTGAATTGTTCTCTTTTTCACAAGTTTCATTAATTGAATTTCATCAACTAAATAAAATTTTACATTTTAATTAACAGACGATGGCTTAAACTGAAAGATATCAGAGGAAGTAACAGTTGGAAACAATTATGAAAAAAAAGCTAATTAAAGAAAGTTTTTACATCGCATTTTAATTATAATAAATACAGAAAATCAAAGATATATTCTCGATATTTAAACATTTCTAGATATTTAAACAAATATTTGCGACTGTTAAAACAAACAAATTATCCAAATAAATTTGATGCAAAAATGTGAATTCATATTTTTTTTCTTTAAACGTTTATACCGCATGCAAAAATTTGAAATGAATTTTACACTAATGTAACAAAATATTGCAAAATTAAAGAATTATTTGACCCTCGATCAAACTCTTTATCGCTTCGTTCCATATTGCAATTTCATCAGCTTTATGCACTTATAACAAGCAAATGTGGAGATACAATATCTTCTTGCGAATATATATTATATTTAATGCAACCGGTTATCAATCTCACAAAAGAAGATTGCTTCTATATACATATTATATACGCTTTATACATTCTATATTCTGATTCTATATTTTCTGAATACATCTCTGGTCCGTCAGGTATAGTATGACAATTATTACTGGTTGACAATTATTACTATTGGCTTGTATCAAAAATAAATTTAATATTTATCTAATCTTCATTCTTTGCAATGTCAATATATTTAATATACCTAAGACTCTACCCATGTAACATCACTTCGCGTATTATCCTTTGCATTTTTGTCACTTATTATTATCTATATATATTATGGAATTTTGAGAAACAGCAAAAAGAAAAAAAGATTTTATAACCTCAAAGGTCAAGTACCGCAATTGCACGCTGCAATTTTAGATATGCAGGCAAACGTAAAGGTTTATCTTTATGCTCACCCTTGTGTAATAATCATTATTTTTATGGGAAGGTTGATGAGACCGATATATTGTATTGTTCCAGGGTCCTCTAATACCAGCGGCGTTCACTAATGGCTACCATTGAGCCTTGTTAAGACCTAATAACAGGTATGTGTGCCATCGACAGTATTTTGTCGAGTTGTATTTACGTTTTATGTCGAGATAAATTTATTAAGAACATTCTATTAATTATTACATGATTATTGGTGATTGCAAGAACGTTTATTAACTCTTTATAACATGCTAAATAGTTTAGTTTTTTCTCCATCTTACAAACTTTTGATATAATATTATCTTGGGATGGAAAACAATTCTATTTGAAATAATAACAAAAAAACACTGAACGATAAAATAACCCTATTTTTTTTAACGATTCGTATAAAAAAAAGACAATCCTTAATTTTTACACATTTAAAGACACTCATAAGATTCAGATATATCTTCAGATATATCCTTAGAAAGAAATTTTAGGTCCTTCTTTATTTTACGTCGGCTGTATGAGTCCATTTGAAATCAAAACTGATGGTCGCTTTTTTCAGAAGACAAATTTTAACTTGTTGAACTTTTAATTCTTTTTCGTCAGGATGGACGAGACGGCAGAACGCAGCACGGTCGCCTGATATAATAAGCAACACGGACGATTTGAGGCAGCTAAACAGTGGATGATCTCTGGACGAAAAAAATAACACGCCTACTATATAGATACAAAGATATAAATAATGATCAAAAGTTGCAATATAAAAAACGGATAATGTCGAACAGAAGGCAACTATTAAATAAGATTCAATCGATGCAACTTCGAAATCCGGATTGTAAATAACCGGATGTAATATTACGCGAATATGAAATAATGCATTAAGAAAGAATGTAGAGCATTAGTCGAATCCAGTTGGATGCAACTATAGATAGAGAAGAAAATTAATCCTGTTGATGAGTAAGGGAAAAAAACTGACGCGCAATGGGGAAGACGTCCAGAGTAGGCCAGAGGAAAAAGACGGAAGAAAAGCGACAGGAAGACCGACCGTCAGATAGAAACAGGAAGAGGTAACAACGCGCGCTGCAATAGGCTAATTATGGCCGAAACTGCGTATTGACGCCAGCCCGTTCTCCGACATTAATAAAAGAAATAATAATATAATAATAATAAATTAAATTAATATTATTAATTGCTAAATATTTAAGCGGTTAAGTCTAGAATATATATAAATAGTATATATATATATAAAGATATAAATATATATATACACATATATATATATATATATATATATATAAATATATAAATAATTGATAATTATTATAGACGGTAACATATGACCTCTAGTATTTAAGACAGTTAAAGAAACAGAAGAGATACCAACTCTCACGAATATTAATAATAATTATTAATTATTACATGATTATTGGCGATTGCAATTATTAATGAGCGCCATGCACCACGCGTGCCCACGTATATTATATAATGATAGGCATATACGCGCGTTCACATCTGGGAAAGACTTTGTTTCTGGACTTTCAAGTTTTAATCGTATGCGCGGGAAGGGTTGAAGAGTTTAACGATGACGCGGAGAAGAGAGAAAAGGAGAAGAGGGATGAAAGTAGATGAAAAAGTAGAGCGGATAAATCAAGCCAAATCCTTTTTGCTGTCCTTTCTCTACGTCTGTACATGCAAATTCAAGCTCCTTCTTCTCTTCCAACGTGCCTTTTCGCTGGCTAAATAGCGGAATGGTGCTTCTCTCCTGTCCTGTCGCAGTACTGCTTTCCCGGGTGCGCAACGAAATAATGCAGAAAGATGTAGCGGCGGGCGAGCGAGGGAGTTACATAGGCATGTTACATACTTGATGTCACGCTGTTAGCATTATTTGTGGGAAGATGGAAGAGAGACATGCGCGAGAGAGCTGCCGTCGAATTTCAGGCCGAGAGGCAAACGATGAGATGCGCAACATCGGAAGACTTTCAGAAAGAAGGAACAGTAGTGGATGATATTGTTAGGATCACAGAATAGTGGACGTTCTCTAGTTATATTTCACCGACGAAATCCGCTATTTTATATTCCAATAGATAACGTGACTGTTTGATGCACGCGTTTCTAGAAATATAATTCAAACTCAAGTTATTCATTGAGTCTATTCAAAACTTTATTATTTATTCAGCCATTATTAAGATACAATTATCTGATAATCTCGCACCGATGATTGCAATTCGCCGTACAGATATACGGTCATGAATACTCTTTAATGCCGAGATGCGACCGTGTTTTCTGATGATTACTGTGTGATGATTATGACTACAAACTTCAAAAGAATACTGTGTTTTATGACAATTTAAGTAGTTTTGAAAAGTTATAATTCCTTCATTATATTAGAAATACTTAAATTACATTACGACGAAGTCACTGAACAGTAATGTTCTTGCTTTTAAAATAGAAGAAAAATCAGAATGTAAATGACGATTTATACTACTCTGTAATTCTGACTAATACCGAACGTTCAAAATTCTATTTGGAGCTTCCGAAGGCGTTGGACAATGACAGTTATGACTTTAATCGGCCGCTGTATAGCTTTAAAACCGATTACGTGCAGTAACCCTCGTTATATATATATATATA